TGCCCTTGTATTTCTATAAAACATTATTTCTTTATACAAATGTGTGATGAAATTTTATAATACAATTTTCCATCTACTCTTAATGTTCAAACCGTTAATATTATCTTAAAAATTACACAACCCGTGCATTGCACGGGTGTTAAACTAGTACTATAAAAAGTAAGAATTTAGAAATGACATTTTTTTTATAAAAAATAAAGTCAATTAAAACTCTTTCTAGCATCAACTTGAAGAAGAATTATTATCAACTTTTTATCCTCATCTTATCCATATCCATCACCAACTATCCATTCACGAAGCTTTAAGGCAAAAGGGTAATATGGACTTTCTCGTGCTCACAATTGTTGACTCTTCTTATGTCTCTAAGAATAAAGGAGAAAGAAAAAATGGAACTTCATTGTATTCATACTTCTTCGTACACAAACTAAACCTATATAGAAAATTGAGCCTTCAAACAGAGAAACTAACTAGGTGTAGACAAAACCATATATTTTCTAAGTTGTATATATGTTATCTTCACCAAGAACAAAAAAACATCGAACAAATAAATATGTGAAGTGGGGGATATTGACATCCTTAGCTATTACGGCCATTGACTTTGATGACCTTCGACTGCAGCATCATACTCTCTTACTGAAAAATTTGTGCATAATTACATACAAGACATTGGATGAGGATATCAACTCTGACTGCTACTTCCTTGTACCATATCCGCATTTCTAGGACTTCAAGGGTTGAACTTTATATTACCACTCAGAAGCCTTTTCAACGACCTCAAACGTGAAGGGACATGCGATTTTTCATCTTCCTCTTCGTTAACCTGTCTTGGAATTTCAATCAAAAGCATTCCGTCTGGCTTATTACTTGTCGATGCCAATGATGACGAGCTAGTGGGTTGCAACGAAGCAGCAATTGCAATGCCTTGATAACTATCCTATAATCAAGGGCCAAATGTACCAACTTGAGTGTCGTTACCCCAGAACAACACATTTGTGGGAAAATTTGGTGGCTGGCCTGCATTTTCTTCAATTGGGGTTTGAATAACAGTCTGTTCAGGACAACTAGGATTCGATGCAAATTCATTTTCATTCCTAAAAAGGTCTCAACAAAGAGGACAAGTGGAATGAAATTGAAACTACATATCAATGCAATCCATATGAAACCCACGCTTGCAATTTGGCAAAAACTTGATTTTTTTCCCCTTGTGAGACCTCAGAAAGACACAATGCACATTCCAATCCATCTTTAAAATCATTGGGATAATATATTACTATAGGTATGGTTTTTAGGATAGTGAGATCAAGACCACAGCGCAGGGCGGAGGGGTCTTTGAGTGCGCGGAGACTAGTGTCTTCGCATTGCACAGTCGGGAGTCTCCATGCCGCTTCACGCAACGCGGAGATCAGATCCTTTGTATCTACAAATGGGCAACATACTCAATATATAAGGAGAAAAGTGTCCGTTGGAATGAATGGGTATGTCTGTTTCGAAGCGGCAAATCATTTGCATAATAACAATAAACAGATAAATAAATTATGAAAAAATATCTAAAAATTTTAGTGTTGGAGTTTTTTGACCTAAATTAGGATTTTTTTTTTTTTTAGAATTTTTTTTCTTTGCACGTATTTTTAATGAAAAAATATTGTGAAGATATTGTTTCCTTTATTCCACGTGATTTTTTATCCTATTTCCATTTTTGTGGTATTTCTAGGATTTGATATTCAACTTTATAAATATCATACTATTTTCACAAGTTTTGCATTACTAAAATATAGAATAATTGTGTAGGCATAATTATTATATTTTTTTCGTCATATTAATCAATTGAATAAAATACTTCGTTCATCTGCCAATTAATTATTTTGTATTTTATCTTGTTGTTTATTTGCGATCATATACTTTATATCATGTCTTATAGATTACATTAGTTTTATTTCCCAACAAATGGTATCATAGCTATTGGTTGTGATTTGTTCGAGGTTTTTGTTATTGATAGCAGCTTTGAAGTATGAATTGTGCTCTTGGATCGCAATACAAGATTTCCGTTATGGCAAGTGGAGATGTGAGTGTACTCGCACAGATGGATTTTGATGATGTGCTGTTGAGATTTGACAAAATGCCAACAATTGAACAGCATAGGAGAAAAAACGGAAGGATCGGAAGGTACTTTCACATATCCATCTTCACCTCTCTGACAACATTCTTCCACGACGTTTTGAAGGAGAAAAAGGTAGCTATGTTGTGGTTGACATTGGATCAATCGTGCATGTCTAAAAGTTTAACAAGCAAATTGCATCTGAAGTAGATGTTGTATTCTCATTGCATGGCTGAAGGCGGATCTTTGGAAGATCATTTGGATGTGTTCAAGGAGATTGTCGATGATTTGGAGACTTTAGAGGTAAAGTATGATTAAGAAAATTTGGCCTTAATCCTTTTGTATTCGCTACCCACTTCGTTTACTTCATTTAAAGACACGATATTGTATAATAGTGATACTCTCACTATTGAAGATGCACATGATGCCTTATTTATAAAAGAGAAGATAAGGCATCTGGTTGGATTTGAGATCAGAGAAGGCATTGTTGTTTGTGGTGATCGGAGAAAAGATAAGTCGATGTCAAATTTCAGTAATCAGGTTTGTTATTATTGCAAGAAGAAATGACACATTAAGAGAGATTGCGACAAATTGCAGAACAAATGTAATTTAACTGCAAATCATGGAAAACAATCAAGTACTTCAGACGAGATCAACATAACTCAAAACCATTTGAGTGATGGAGATGTTTTGACAATTTCTGTCATGGAATCTAAAATTGACGAGGAGTAAATTTTGGATACAGCTTATGCATTCTATATGTGTCCCAATCGGGATTTGTTTTAAACATATGAAATGGTAACGCAAGAAGTCGTTGTCATAAGTAACAAAGAACCTTGTCGGGTAGCTGGTATTGGTAGAATCAGATTGAAGCCAATGGATGGAACGTGTAGAACACTTGATCACGTTCGACAAATTCCAGACTTGAAGAAGAATCTCATTTCATTGAGTACTCTTGATTCAAAAGGGT